TTTAAATAAAAGACATAAAGTCCAATGCAAAAGAGCAGAGTTAACTTGACGGCTTAAATATCAAGAAAAGGATGATTACTACGATCAGATGCAACGATCAGGATGATTCCAAACTCTGCGGTGCCTTCACGTTGAATGGCGAAACAGGTTAGTGTCCCAAACACTAGTATATACTCCTCGTAGCACTAGATGGTTTTAGATGTATCTGCTCTTTGTAAGAATTCTGAAAATTTAAGATACCTTAGAAGAGACGAATTTTATGTATTATGTCGCTGGTCTCCTGCAGTTAAACTTGAAGTTGATATATTGCTTTCCATTGAAAAACGGAAAAAGCTCTTTGTAAGAAGTCTTGGCTAATAAAATGTTATCTAGAGATTTAAACATTAATTCCTTAATATTTTTTTCTTTTCATTTTAATTTTTTAACTCAGTGGAAAAAACTGAGTGCTTCAAGAAACATTATATAATTATCATACTTGATAAAAGGTATGTAATAATCACTCATGATAAAGGTAATTAACAATTTAAATAAAATTACTATTTGAAACAACTTAAAAAATTATTAATAACCTGGCCGCTTTTTGTATCATTTAAATTTGATTCAAATATTATGCCTTTCCAAACACAAAACTTACTTTTTCAGGGATTGGAATGCTTTATCACTATTGATATCTATTATATTTTCAAAATAACTAAAACTGAGTTGTATATAATAATGAATCCCAGAATGAATGCTATTGAGAAAACAGTTGCATTACTTTCAAAGACACTGAACTAAATTACTAATTAACCTTGGACAGGTTATGAATATCTGTTCAATAATGCTAATGATCCTACAAAGTTTTACAAAAAATACGTGAATAAATGACAAGATTGAGCAATATAGTTCAAATACATTTCCAAATGTTCCTCAGTTGTTATCTTTTGAAATAATACCAAAAACACACTCTCGTCTTTCCTCTGCAAACTGTTTGACCTCGCTTATTGGCTGCCGTCTTTCATGTGTATCATTTATGGACAGCTTTGTAAAGGATACATATAAAAAGCAAATCTGCTCTTTCATATGTGTAATATATGATAAACAGAGAGGTCAAAGAAACGCTTTAACGATAGTACATGTGTGATGTTAAGCGCCACTGAGTGTGAACCCAAGCAAGGCGCCTGAAATCTCTTGTAATTTAAGAGCATTTTCTCTTGAAATCCGTTATAAAAGGTAAATTAGTAGGCTTAAGCTATATTATCCAACCGTTTCGTTCTTTTTGTAATAATATTTGATCTTGTCTGTCTAAGTAGGATCGCTTTAATTTTGGTTTGAAACATTCACAGTCTTGTTTTAAGCTTTAGGTTGAAGACATGCTTCAACCTAGGCGGTGCAGTCGGCGTTTAAGAGCTAAAAAAACTTTGTGAACGCCTTCTCAGTAAAACATATTAATAATTTTAATGCAGCAAATGAAATATGTTAAAACAATACGCTAGTAGGTAAGGCAATGCAAATGTTAAATTTCGTAGTCAATAAGATATGATACTGAATTGTAATACTGTTTTTTGACGAAACGGCATCAAAATAATGTTGAATATAACGTTCATTTCGACACTTCTGTACTTACAAATATTGAAAAACTTAATTGCAAGACGTTTAGCTGCAAATGAAAAGAAAGTTTCAGTTGCTGGTTTCGGAAGTCAAAGATGGACCATTTTTCAAGAAGCACACATTTCATGTAGATTTAAAATTAGATTTCCATTTTAACAAAGTTTCAGTCTAGCTGAATGGTTAGTTGATTAACTGATTGTGGCCAAAAACGCATTGAAGGAGGCCTTCGTGGAGACTTGCATTCCTGTTAATTTTTGCAGCAGACCACAAAAGTCTTATGCAGCCAGCTCGTTGGCCAGGAAATTAACTTAAGGCGAGCTGTCAAGTGCTGAGGTGTCTTACCCTCCTGGGGCAGTTGTGGGCTCGCAAATCTCTAAACAGACCAATAAACAATTTTAACTCTTTGAACATACTTTTGAATTCGAATGGTAAACAAAGGTAAATTATACACATATAGACGAATATAATAAATAAATAAATTTTTCACAGCTTATATTCCCAATTTAAGGTCTGCTAAAGTTCATAAAATAGTTTTCTATGTTAAGAGTATATATATTAAAAATAATCTAAGACAATAGACAATGAGATTAAAGTTGAACTACAAAGCTTGTATTTCCATATTAAGAATAATAATTTCAAATTCCAATTCGCTAATATTCTAGTTGTTATATAACTACGTCACCATCTCCTGCATGCACTGTACTGTACTTGTCAAATACTGAAAATTTCTTCAAGAAATTGAATCATTTTTAAATATTTGTTTAATTATGCACTTAAAAGCTATCTTCCTACGGAAAAGGTTGCATACATAAAGGACCTTATAAGGGAAACTGGCTTTCACTGTTTCCCTTTCATGAAAATTTTATGATGTTTTTAAATATATGCTGAATGCATTTTTTATATATATGCTGAAATATATGTAAATGTACTGAATGTATTTTTTAAATATATATAGTAAAAAAACCAAGAAGAAAGACTTTAAAATTAGTGAATTTTAAAATTTATTTAAAAGTAAAATCCAGCGTTATTGCTGCAAAGATAATATTTAACATAATAATGTAATCGAGAATATAAAGGAAATTATCTCCTAGGAAATTCGAATTGAAATTTGGAAAGCAAATGTGCACTATTGTGGTAATAAATAATAAGCAATTTAGAAAGCAGATCTGCGCAATTGTGGTAATAATTAATTGGAATTTCAAAATTAATACATTGGAATTGCCAATTAAAATGCAAATGAAAGAATAAAACAAGAGAATTATTGCTAATTCCAAAGAAAGATCCCAAATAACAAGGGGAAATAGAACTTCTCTGTACAATCATCAATAACTCAAGAAAAGTGAGTTTCGTTATCTCGCATATCTGAGCAAATCCATTTTCAATTTTATATTACCATTCAATTTTAAAATATCCGAATTATAATACATTTAATCATATATATATATATATAAAATTTAGACGCAGAAGACGATGTATACTGAATGAATAAGCTTAGTCAATGTTATTTGTGATAAGCACATATTTGAATTTAGTCAATGGTATTTGTGATAAGCACATATAGCAGGAAAAAACATTATCCTGCTGTTTAAAATTCCTTTTACCTTCTTCACTGGAAAAGGCGGGAGTTCAGCGTATTGAACGTAATTTGTTCTCCGCCTACGTTAACCTCTAAAAGAAGCTATCCCCCCCCCCAAAAAAAAAAAAAAAAAAAAAAAAAATTCGCAAAAATTTCATATGACAATGGTCAATGTCTAGGTTTATTTTCTTCCTTTGTTTCCTTTACAACTTTGCATAAATAAATATTTATTTTTCCTTCCATTCAAATAACTTACAATTTTTTTTGTTTATAAAAGCATCATTTTTAAAAATTTCAAATTAAAGTACACTTTTTGACTATAGCTGATTCTTGAACAACGATGATTTGAACTGCGCAGGAAAACTCACAGACAAGCATATGAATTTTTCGAAACGTTTACCATATAATTCGGTGCAACATAAAATCCTGAAATATTAATCAGATATTAACTTACTTTAGGCCCATTGATGGCCAAGTGGATATGACCTGAACGCTGGTAAATTAACTAGGATAGGAATCTTAGAGAACGAAGTTAGCTGCTTTTGACTTTTCTCCGTTCGTAACTTGTATATACAAGTCAATTTGCCTTACAAAGGTTTTTTTTTTTCATCATTATTATTATTATTCTATTTTAAAAAGGCTTATTTTTATTAATCTGCCGGCCTAGCGCTGAGCACAACTAGTTCGACCCGGATTTAAGTCTCGACGTGGTTTACTCCCACGTGTGCACAGCCCTTGGTGCAATGCTATAATTAAAGAAGCAAATCAATCTCTTAGTCGGGACCTTCGTAAAACAAGGCTTTCTAACTCTCTTGTCATATCACCATGAGGAGTGCAAAAGAAGTAAGTCCTATTCGTTGAGGCCCACCAGCGGCTAAGCGGTAAAGTCGCTGAACACTGGTAGTTCGGTCCGTGGTTCGAATCCGGCGAACGGGCTGGCTGCATGGGTGTTTTTGTGGTTTTCCCCGTGTGTAACGTGTATACGAGCCAGTTTCCCTTATACAGTCCTCCACGAAGGCATACCTCCCCTTAGGCAGATAGCCCTAGTGTGCTTTGCCATAATTAAATACACCACCTATTCGTTGAGAGAGTGATCCACTCGCTCCCAACGAATGGGATAGGTTTCTTTGCACTCTTCATTATCTGAATATACATCTTTATACTCAGGTTAAGTAAATAAATGTTGCTTACAAATGTATACAAATGATGTGGTTGTGTTCACATACATCCAACTAATATGGTAGTGTTCATAAACATATATACATGCGATTATACTTACTTTTTATATGCTATGAATAGATTTTGAAATTTTAGGTGCGTGTTGTTGTTCACAGTCTACTTAACTTGCTCATCGAGATACATAAAAACCATTTTTGAAGTAAAATATAAAGTACATCTACACAACTTTTTCTTATATAATGACTTGATCCCCCCCCCTCTAGATAACTCTTCGTTTTATAATAAGGCCGCACGGCATAAGACGGGTCATACATATAAAATCAACATACCATAATTATTCTGGCTTCCACTGCCTCCGTTAGAAGGACAGAGCACTGTTGTGAGCAAATAAAGTCAAAAGAATATAGATCTAACTCATTTAAATAAAATTCTTCACTTATAACCTCTTAATTAGATCACTGTTCACGCAAACATTCATGTGCAAAAACAAATCTCTTTCCCATTCTAAAACCTATGCTAATCAATATTTAAATTTTCATAATTTATTTTAAGCAATATTACAACTGCAAATATCATATACTTTTTAACCAGACAAATAATAGAACAGACAATGGCAAAATTGAAACCGCGAATATTAAATAAATAAAAATTTTACCGGATTGTACAAAAGTAATGCAACCCAGAAGCACAAACAAGGAAGAAATCAGATCCAGCTTCATCTTCTCAGTTTCGAGTTCAGTAGACTTCAGTGCAACTGCAGATTAAGAAATCGCAGCTTGCCGCTAACGTTCTTATCTCTCCCAAGCGATTTGAAGATCTGAGGTCAGAGTTGACTTCACTTTTTGCTCCCAACTTTGTGTTTATTTTTCGCATTAGTTGTGGAACAGGATGTTCTTTTCGAGCCAATCGATGCATGAGCTACGTCACCGACCACGCATGGCGGGAAGTTGCGAGAACTCTTGTTAGCCCATTGACAGAACTGAAACGAGGAAATAGTTATTCGACGAGCTGTTAACTTATTTTGATTCCATTTTTAGTTGAATGAAAGTGATTTGTCAACTTATTTATTGACGATTTTGATTTTTAACGCGGCAGTTTTATCCTGTTCCTGGTCTACTTTTTTTTTTTTTTTTTTTTTTCACTTTCCTCTCTTCTCTCGATTTTATCGAGGAATTGAAAACAACTGCGAATTACAAGTACTATGGATTTCTAAAATGAACTAAAGAAATATCTAATTATTTGCAAGCAGCGAAATGGTATCTACTTATGTGATTCATTTGAACTTTTTTCTACAAGTGTTTCGCAATTAAATTTTATCATTCAACCTTCAATAAAAAATTGCAGATCAAATTTTAACAAACTAGAATTAAAAAACTAGAAATTGAAGCATTGCAAACAGCTAAAACTTACGTAAATGTATGATATTTATAAATTTTTGAATTTTATATTGCTAAAATACATTGTGAAAATTAAAACTAATAATAATACCAATGTATAAGTGTATGTTTTTCCTATTATAGAATCCTTACAAAATATGATTTTTAAAACTGCACATGTAGTTGTATATGCAATTATGCGTTTAATTTCTATTATTTATTAAGCCTCACCAGTGGCCGAGTGGCTAAAACCGCTGAATACTGGTAGTTCAACCTAGGTTAAAACATATTCAAATAGGCTGATTGCATAGTCGGTGTTTCGTAATTTTTCCCACGTGAATATGAACCAATTTTCCTTAGAAAGTTCTTCACAAAGGCATCCCTCCTCTTAGGCACATAGCCCTTGTGTGCTATGTTTATTCGAAAGTCTAACCTAGTACTACTTATCAAAACATTCCGGGTGCTCCTTGTCTTTAATTAGACTACGCACCGATCAACTCAGTGGTTTAGTTAATTAGGGCATTCCACATTAGAGCTCTACTTGCATTAAAGGAAAAGATGACTTCGTGGAGCGCTTTGTGAGGTAAACGAGCTCATTTACACGTTATATATGGGAAAAACAAATAAAAAAAAAAACGCTCATGCAACCAGCCCGTTCGCTTGGATTCGAACCCACGTCGAAACTACGAGTCTTCAGCGATTTTACCGCCGCTGGTTGGAACCGTTAAACTCAAAGTTTTCAACTTTGAGTTGAGCATCATAATCAGCAGAAGCATCGATCCTACTACAAGATTCGGGACTTACGTATTAATATAACCATCTTACTCGCCAAATTTTCAGAATGTGCCAAACTCTGGCAAACATGCGCATAATCATTCTGCCGGCAACCATGCTCGTCCTACAGCCTAGCTAAGATTGTTAACCTATTAACTATTCTATATTCTTTTAATAATCCTTCAGTCAAACAACACCGACATTTTCATATGCGTTCTTTTTTGTTATATTTCAAGTTCCAACGCTTATTTTAAATAAATCGTGCTTTTTTTGCCTTAGTTTTAAAATATGAGTTTGTGGAATTTGCCAGCAATGGAAGAAACGCCGCAAAACTCTTGCAGGAATACATAATTTTACTAATATTTTTCTGAAGGAAACGCCGAGGAAATGTGTTTCCTCAATAGCCGTTGTTGCTGAGAGTTGCACGAAGCCGAGTCGCTGCGCTTTTTTAAGCGAAAACAGATCGCTGTGTACTTTAGGAGAAGAAGAGAAAAAAAAAAAAAAAAAAAAAAAACAGAAAGATAGGAAGAAGAATTTTATTTTATTTATAAGACTTTTATTTTTTTAATGTATCACGTTGTCCTTATTTAATAATTAAAATTTGTATTTTAAATTGTTAAAGCACATTTTCTTTTCTTATGTTGGTAATGTTTATAATACCGATAGTTTGAAAAATCTTTAAAAAAAAAAAAAAAAAAAAAAAAAAAAAAAGCTCGAAAACCACAAATTTGCACCTGATAACTAAATCTTACCAATCTGTAAAAAATCGCGAAATTTTGCCAAAGTGGTTGAGTTAAGTACCCAACGACCAAATGGATGAAAATGATGGATCATGTTAGTAGGACTCTGGTTCGAGTCCTGGAAATCGGATTGACTGCATAGGTATTTTTCTGGTTTTCTTCGAATGCTATCCCACCCTTCGAAATGCTGTTTCTTCTTTTAAGCAGATAGTCCTTGACATTAGTTACCATAACTAACTTCGAAACAAGCTAAGTCTGCTGTTTCTTAAAGAGGCTCAGACAGCTTCCAATCATTAATCTAAGTCTGAGCAAACTCGAAATGACAAATGTTCATATATATGACTTAACTACAATAAAGTTTCGATTATTTACCCAATTTATTGAACATTTTACTGAAAATAAAATGTATGGGATAAGAGTACTGACCGTTAATCAGCATATTTGAAGAGTTTTCCTACCTGAAAAATATTTAAAACACAGAATTTAAAATTAATAGGTAGGGATATATTAGTAAACAAAATCATGAATATTGCTATCTTCTGAGAAGTTTCAAAATAATTAAAAGAAGGCGCTGCGACATAGATACATTTTAATAGTTTAATAAACATTATATTCTTCGTAAGTATACTTATTTGACTAAATTTTTCCTTGGAATATATTATATTTGCCTATCTGATCCGTACACCAGAACGTATCACATTTTAGCACATACTACTAGTGTGAAAAACAATCGAGATTCGTAACTCGATTTGAACAGAGCTATGACCTGTCATAGTAAGATCAAAAACTGTGTTTCCCAAACTACTATTAATCAAAGATCGGCCTTACAGTAATTGCCGCTTATTAAAATCACTTCATTCCAAACATATTTGAATTTATTAAACGCCTGAGTTTAATAAACGGCAATTTCGGTATTGAAAATTACGGTATTAACTTATTTAGTAAGACAGTAACTATGATTATTCTAATAACTAATACCTAAATTATTAATTAAAAATTAATGCTGAAATTGAAATACTTGCGAAACTTGGACAATTATTTTTTATTTATATTATTAGTAATTTTGTACTAGATGATTTCAGTGCAATTATATTGTTTCGTGCGTACGGGTTCGTGATAAATTGAAAGCACAAGTCCGATGAAAAGTGAATAAAATTTATTCTTATCACAACAAATAAAACAAAATGCTGAAATATCCTCAGAGATATTCGTACAATATTGCAATATCTCACAGTAGTTGTATTTTGAATTACTAAAAACGTTGAATAGAACTCAATTCAAAATATTGAAAAAGCTAATCCGATTTCACTGCGAATTCGCTACAGTAAAACACAACTCTTATCCAACCAACAAATCATAAATAACTGAACTGAGATGTTTTCCTCCAGCTTTTATAAGCTTTTTAATGGTGCACGAGAATATTCTGGTATTTACTCCATTTTTCTGGATAGCAAAAGAATACAATTACGAGATATTTATTTATTAAATGCTAAATGCGCGTGCACCTGTATGTTAATTTTTCCAGCGTAGCTTTCCCTTCAAATACTGTCTTGTGCTGCAATGCACGAGAATATAAAACAAATTTAATCAGAAATTCTACTAAAAATAGCTAAATAAGTACAAAATCCGTAACAGTATATGAAATTGTATTTTACTGTGTAATGTAACATGAAAAATCTGAAGAGACGAGCTGTGCCGGAAAAGTAAGAATACAAGGGCAAGTCTATTTAACATTGAGTAAATGGGTATCTCGGTAATTTGGCGAGAAATCGCCAAAAATTCGCCAAACTTGACGACCATTTGGTGACATTTTGTTCCGGTCCTTGTATCACTGTAATGAGTATTGTAAGTGAATAAACTTAATTAATCACTATATCAGCTGCAACAGTAATTCGACTTCCAGTAATTTTAAGTAGCAGAAAGTACCAGAAATATCTCGGCCGAGTGAAAACTGTATAAGGCCAGTGAGAGAATCTGCTCTCAGTTGTTGTTATTTTTGCGAGTTGTTAACTCGGTGTGAGGTCGGAGAACTGAGATATTTCCGATTTCTCTTAAGACGCGCTTTGCGTTGCGTTGTGTTCAACATTCTTAGTAGTTTGAAGCTTAATTACCGATTGTACTCTATGATACAATGAACACCTGTACGAGAATTTCTGTGGAAAATTCCAGAACTTTAAAGTGTTTCTTGAGGAAAAACATTTTTTATTTACTTTTCATCGGAACTGAGGGCTGTTATGACTCAGTCATCGGGACTGAGTCATAACAGCTGTTCACTCAGGTCTTCGGACCTGAGTGCCTAAAATCTGTTATGAACCGGTACGCATGCAACAATATTTTCATAAAAAATAATATAATTATGTACCTGATGAAATTTTAAACGTTTACAAAGAACTGCTTCATCCGTATTTGTTTCGCATTGTTCGTCAACCTTTTAATTGTATTTTCAAATCTGTAAAACTGTTGGTAGTTTTTCGGATCTCCGCCTATCAGTTCAACAGGAGTTCTTAGAGCTTGTAGTGCTAGTCTCGATTCAGCTGAGGTTGGCATGTAGTCGCTTCCATCCGTACCACTTTTCACTGTCAGTTTCAATTTTTGCAGTTTTTTAGCACTTTTCATAATTTCATAATCATTGTTTTCACATGCTGTCTCATTATTATCATCAATTGTAACGCATTCTAAAAACGAATCTTCGTAAGCCTCACTTTTGTCCAAAATATTAGAAATAGTTTTCAATTTCTTTGTGGCTTCTTCTAAATAAAAATCACATTTTCTAAAGAAATTTCTAAATCTGTTTTTGGAGACTGGTATCCATGCGTTGACTATAATATGCGTAGCCTCTAGCAAAGATTGTCAACTTAGTTTTCTATTTCGAAGTGCTTATATTTTCAGATGATTCAGTTTTGTTTATCTTTTTTTGAAAGACACTTTTTCTGTAATTATATTTGAAAGCTTTTATATTACCTTG